TTTCAAACTATCCCCCCCCCCCCCCTCCTGTCACACCCCTTTGCAGCAAGCGGATAGGATGATTTAAGCGCTTGAAATGCCAGTTCCCAGAGGACAATATCCTAAAAGACATATATTGGAGGACATTGGACATTAGTATGCTGCAATCTTTGATAAATAGGAAGATGCCAGAATGTTTCCCACTGTAGCAAGTCAGGGGCAGCTATACGTGTACAATCCATGTCTACACACAAGGCCTTAAAAGGAGCTTCCGCCTATTATTAGGGTTTGGGTAGAAAGGGGATGATGTCATACACCGACTTGGGCACCCTGCCCTTCACTCGTCGCACATGGTTGCCACAGCAACGCAAATGATGCCGAATTAAGATTCCGAGCTGTGTCAGATTCATCCTCTCATTTCCTCCACCCACTACTAGCTGGAAGCAACACACACACACACAACACCCACGGCCCAGCAAGTTTCATCACCGACATCTAGCAAAAGGCACGTCCTCTAAGGTCAAAAATCACTTTATTGCAAAACCAAAGAACAAAAATCCACATCTACTGTGTGTCCAAAATGTAGCAAAATGCCTGCCTGTATCAGCCCCATAGACACGCATGGATTCAAAGATTCCTTGCAGCGATGACTTGCTAGCACAGATATGCAGTGTTCTGGACCCAAGAGATCCACCCACACTGAGGCTGTGAACACAACGCACAGCAGATGCCCCCCAACCTTGCGGGCGGCAAACTGCATCCTGACGATGGCATGGCTGCAGATGTGTGTGACCTTCACAACAGCGGAAGAGGCAGCCACACTGGAGTGAACGCCCAGAGGGATTGCTACGAATGGCACAGTGCACATGAGGAGATAGGATCAATGATAGAATACACAGGAGGCGAACAAGCTCAAGTCACATTTATGGCTGGATACAAAGGTTATACTTCTGGACGATGCCGAGTACGTGATGATGGGAAATGGCACAGGGCTGCTTGTGTGATAGGAGTATCTGTGGATAGTTCCCTCGGTGTATATGTATATATATATGTGTGTATATATATATATATACACATACATACATACATACATACATACATACATACAACGTTGCTGAGTAGGTCTGACTGTGCTGCTAAATCAAGGAGACCACACAGGCCCCGTGTACTGGAGGTGCCCGTCTGTTCACTGTATACATGGGAGGTGCAATGCAATGAAAGCCATGTGCACATATCATTGGCCACCTAACACTGCCCTGTGCACAGGTCAAGGTGTCATTATCCAGAACATTATTATAGTTGCCCTCTCAAAATATTGTATGTGAAGCAAAATGGACAATGTATATGGCAAGGTGACCCTCCTAATCAATGGGATTGATTCCATTGATGAGGCCACATTGCCTCTTTGGTGTTCCCTAAAGGTGGCCATACACTCTACAACCATCGCAAGACTTTAGTCTTGCGATGGTTGTAAAGGGATTAAAAAAACGTACGATCTGCCTATCTTGGGACAGGCAGATCGCACTCTCGATCATCGCAAGCCCGCCTGAGGGGCGGGCTTCCGTTGACCGCAATGCTGAACGGGCTGTGTGCGCGTGCGCACACCGGCCCGTTCAGCATTTATCTTCCGAGCACTGTTCTAACCAGCCGAGAATCGTACGATTCCCGGCTGGTTTTCGAACATGCTGGTTCGACAGAAGACGTGCGACCGTACAGTAGAAACGGTCGCACGTCTCCGTTCACACTGCTCGATTATCGTACGAAAACCCGATCGCATACGATTATCGTACGATAATCGTGCAGTGTATGGGCACCTTAAGGCTCCACAAACTACGCACCTTCAGTGGCACACTGACCCAAAAGATAACAGATCTCACACTGGTCTGCAGGGATTTCACAACGTCACCACAGATCACATGCAACACATTCCTCAAGTGTCCTCTATTCCTAATGTAACATTCTTGTAGCAAAGACAGTCGGACAGATACAAATGTTATAATATTTACACATGCGCTTCAACAAAAGTTTGTAAACATCCGTCAGGATATCAACACCAAGTTCCTGTTACCCTGCCAATAATGTAAACCACAAACAGCCCCCCTCCCCGGGTCTCTGCAAAGCATCAGATCCCACCCTCATCTTTACCAACGTCAGTATTGACTGGCCACATACACACATATGTAAAAGCACAGGTAACATGGCTGGGAAGTAGCACAACGGCCAGGGGAAGTCAGCGTGCCAAATACTGATCCATGATATCCATAGAGATCATCTGGCAGCCAAACACTAAATACAACACACACTTTAGGCAACTCTGAATCCTGCATATAGCTACACACAAGAGTCAATGCACCTACCTGCAAACACCTACCCACACAGTCACCTGCACTGCACGGACCTACCCACACATGTTCACCTGCACCTACTGTTCACATACTTACCTACACATAATTACTTGCACAAACCTACCAACATACAGGTGAAACTGGAATAATTAGAATATTGTGCAAAGTTCATTTATTTCACTAATGCAACTTATGCGGTGAAACTAATATATGAGAGAGACTCATTACATGCAAAGCAAGATAGTTCAAGCCGTGATTTGTCATCATTGTGATGATTATGGCTTACAGCTCATGAAAACCCCAAGAACCCCAAATCCACAACCTCAAAAAAGTAGATTATTACATGCAATCAATAAAACAAGGATTGTACATAGAACAATATCGGACCTCTGAAAAGTACAAGCATGCATATGTACTCAGTACTTGGTTTGGGCCCCTTTTGCAGCACTTACTGCAATTACTTTTGCACCATATTTTAATTATTCGAGTTTCACCTGTATGATCACCAGCAAGAACCGTGCACACACCTACACAACCACACGTTCACCTGCACCTACCGTACACACACACACACACACCCACACCTACCGGCCACTCT